AGATTATTATGTTGGTCCATTTTGTAGATTTATATTGCGTAATAATTTGGCGGAAGCTTTTGACATTAACTGTGGAATGTAGCGACAAAGTGCAACGTGTTGTTTTATAAAGTACAACTTGTTGTTTTATAAAGTGCAACATTTTGATACATAAAGTGCACTAATTTATACATACGAACACTAGTTTTTTTATAGATATAATCATACATTGAATTAATCTAAATAATTAAAATATGTTTTTATTTATTATTTTTTATTACATAGTTTATTTATTATTATAAAATATTATTTATATTATTTTAATATTTTATACTAATTTTATTTAATATATATGCATAACACATTAATACAATGTTATATTTAATGTTAATATATACAATGTGCCTTTTATATATCATTAATATCTATTTATTATTTTTTACAAAATTGCAATGTATCTTTTACAAAATTGCAATTTGGTCCCTAAATCCTATCTAATTTTCAATAAAACACCCGAAGCCCCAATCTGATTTTGGAATTTGATGAACGTGGTGTTCAACATCCGCCAGTGGTTGCCGGCGAGTCCAGCCATCGGGATGCGAGAATAGGACGTCGTAGAGGCCGATTTTGATTTCAATTTTGACGTGGGAGGAGAGGCTGCCGGGTGGCCGATCGATGGCAGAGCTTCGAGGTGAGAGGTGAGAGGTGAGTGTCGATGAAGACGAGCGATTGATTAGGTTTCTGGTCGCCGATGAAAACGATGAAGGCTGAATAGGCGGAGGCGGAGGGACATCTGAATCGCCGGTCTTCTTCCAGCAATCATCGAGCTCCCCGGACGGAATATGCGGCTGTGGCAGAGGCGGGATCTCTGAAATCGATACTCTTCTCCAGCGACGGCGGAGCAAGGCGGTGGCGACGAAGAGAGCGGCGGCCGGCTGACTGAGTTCTGATCGGCGGAAGGATTGGGGTCGAGCCGGTCGGCGTGTGTAGTGTGTGTGCGTGTGTGGGGGTGAGGGTAGGGTGGGGGCCGCTTTTATGTGTTTAATTGTGGGTAATACCTACCACTTTACCCTTAATCACTATAAATGTTGGGCGTTTTTTTAACCGTTGCATTATCAGATCGGATGGCTCTGATTTATTCTTATTTCTTTCACTGAGCATCATTTTCACCGGAGCGTGACCTTATATATATATATTTATACGCATTAAATTTGTACTTTTAGAAAAGTATTGTTTTCACTGCACACCAAGTTTTTAGATTATTGCTATTGATTAGATCTGATGTGAACTTGTGCACTAGCTCTTGCCATCTATTGACTTGACTGTTTGAGGCAGTTAGACCAAACCAAGCCAGTGTGGATGCAGTTCTTGGCAAGGCTATTGTTATTGCCTATTCTCATAAGGACATAGTGTTTCAAAGTGACTTATTCGTAGAATTGAGATATAATCGCAATTATGACATTCTTTTTCATAAGGACAGTGTTTCAAAGTAACTTATTCGTAGAGTTGAGGTACAATCGCGATTATGACATTCTTTCTCATAAGGACTGTGTTTCAAAGTGACTTATTCGTAGAATGGGGATATAATTGCGATTATAACATTCTTTGAAAAGAAGCCCTTAAAGTGACTTATTCGTAAAATTAGAATATAATCGCGATTATGACATTCTTTGGGAAGAAGCCCAAAGAGCGGACAGGGCAAGTCTGGGTCAAATTGCCACCACACAACTAATCTATTTATTTATCTTTGTCATTGAGAAGTGGATATTCCAATAAATATTTAATTAAAGAAGGAATTCTCCTGAATACAAAAATAACACAGCATTTTGCATATAAAAGCGTGAAATACTTGGAAACTTGAACATTTAATTTTGGCAGAATCAGTCCCTTAACTCGTTCTTGGTCTATGTCCCTACTCTACCATTATCTGGAAATTAACTAACAGCTCGGAGAGACAACACGAGGTTAATTCAACTCAAAAAAAGATTTTACAATTACGACAATATAGAGAACCATTTCAAGGGAGATTGTAGTCGAGCATATCCCTAATGTTCAACCGAATGGAAGGCCCCATTGATGAGCATATGTGGGCCCTTCTCCAGAAAATACCTTTTACTCCTTTTGGCCTGTTAGCTTCTACTGATTTCTGCAAGTGTTTTGATAATCGATTTAAAAGTTTAAGCATAGATCATTACTTCAGAACAAGAAGAAGATGAGTAAATTGGACAAAGAAACATAGCACAGCTTACCACTGTAGCAAGAAAGTTTGCGATAAGATCTTCCTCTGAAAAATCGGCTTTCCCAAAAGGTATGTGAACAATCCCAGTTTTATCTGCTCGGTATTCAACTTTCCCTTTCTTAAATTCCCCTATAGCCTGCAGGTGATATTAAACCATTTTTAAATATATATTATACATATAAAGTAATCCTCTACTGATTGTTTGTCAGCTTTGATCAACAAAGTTTGCATTATACATGAAGTATATTCCATGAGAGGAACATAAATTATCAAATTTGACAGTCCACAAAAATTTAAATGATAGAAACTGAGACTCTACCTGTGCTATGTTTGTAGTCACTGTACCGGCTTTAGGATTTGGCATTAGTCCTCGAGGTCCTAGAATTTTTCCCAAACTTGCAACCTAATACATAGAAAATAGAACTTGCATATGTGAGGATCTAACTAGTATTAAA